AGTTTTCTTTCACTTGCCACAGACTATATCATCGTATCATAACTGAAATGAAGCATCTTGTGTGGCTAAAATGTTCACATATTTTCCTCCAATAAATCTTCTGGACCAAATAATTTTTTGCCTGAAATGTGGTTGTTTTCAATACAGTGTGGCATATATTTTTATCCCTTCTAAAAAATGTTTCTCCCCAGCTATAAAGTTAGATAAGTTACTACATTATAAGTAAAATTCATAAAATCTTAAGTCTTACTTCCTTGAGAGTACTGAAATAATGACTTCGCTCCAGTACAAACTTGTGAAGACTGACTGAAGGAATCTTCATAAACAGTATCAGGAAAAATTCATTTATAACCATCCCTTTTAACAAAAGAAAAGTCTCAAGTTCTAAAATTACATATGCATTAGGACCTCATTTTTCATTTGAAATGTATACTTGTAAATGTGACTAAAATAATTACTTTCCCTTTAATATTCTTCTAGAGCTTGACAAATTTGTTCCAATTTCTGACTTGGGTCTGTCCCTAACTTCAGATAACCTCAATCTTCCCATCCCTCTTTTCCTTTCCTTCTGAAATAGGAGGTAGCAATCCTTTGGAAAACTCAAGTTTTGGTTTTTCTTTATATAAATGTTTAGTAAGTAGTCTGCTTTAGATCGTTCTCACCTTCACTGAATTTAACTTAAATTAATAATTTAATATTCTTTAATTGTACACCAGTTAGCTAAGAGAAATGGGACAGATCTCTAACCATGTTCAAGTCTTACACTGAAATGTTTTACTTTTTTATGCATCAAATTTCACAAACAAGCAGCAGTTGGTTTTAGAACAATTCCTTGGCTGTTTGAAATGCAATAGGGAGAAAATACTTTGGAACACAAATCTACAGATTAAATTAGGGACATAGATAAATGCTGCAGACATCAGTAGTTTATTGTTTGTTTAGTCCAAACACATTCAAAATGGAAACTCAAAGAATACTTTTCCACCTGAAACAATTAAACTAGATTCTACTAGCATATAATGCTTAACACATTACAGCAATAAAGATGGTAATCCATTGTCTTCTATACCTACTAAAGCCAAGATGGTAAAGCCAATTTGGTTGCAATAGTGTCATAAGGATAGAATATTACCATCAAAAAAAACCAAAACAAAAACAAAAACAAAAATAAATCAAAAACAAAAACCAGCAAATAACAGTAATGGTCAATGAATATTTTTACTCTGGTTCACTGAAAAAGGGGACAAAATGTTAAAAGTCCACAGTACTGCAGGTGAACAATCACCATGTAAACTTCTCCATGTGATGTTTTAATGTTTTTGTTTTTTTTTTTCATGGTATGTAAAGACTGAAGCTGAATGGCTCTTTACTCTAATTTTCTATTACACTTAACATTTGTCATTGCTTTTGGTGCCAGAAAACAGTTTTCATGGGTGGCAGGGCAATATCCTAGATTGGAAATTACATACATATTTAAAAAGGGAAGGAGAAAGAAATAAAAGAATAGAGGGGAAATATGCTATAAAAAAAACCCCAAAACACTGACAATAAACCACTTACTTAAAAGTAGTTTGAATAAAGGCTTCAAAACTCAAAAGTAATTTTCTGGTAAGAACTTCAAGTACTATACATCAGAAAGTGTAAAAGTGTTCAAACAGGAAAAAATCTTTAAGCACCCCCCCCAACGGAAACTATGAGAAATCTGTGTCCCCCAAATATATGCAATAGTGCAAGACTTTTCCCCAAACATGGAAGACCTCTTTCAAGGGGGAAAAAAATGGAGAGATTTCACTTATATTGCCCAGTACATGAAAATCAAAATATGTGCATCATTTGCTAGTTTACTAAATAGCAAACAGTTCCATAATCCAGAACCAGTTTGCTACTATGTCAAGTGCATTTTTTGTTTGTTTTTACTAAGAATGGAGAAGTCTTCCATGCTAACAAGCAGCTTTAAGTGGTCACACTTAATTTACCTCACTCCTAGCCTGAAACATCAGGAACTGTAATGTACCAAATGCTCCAAGCATAAAATTGGATATCCTTTGCCATAACTTGCGGTTTACTGGAACTTGCTATAAAGACAGACAATAATCCAGCAGCTACAAACTTTGCTCACAGAATTGTTTAGAGATTCATGTAAAAATAAAAGATGTCGTCCCAGACTTAAATTCAGAGCCACTCGGGTGCTGACATCAGTTCAAGAATTGTGCAAAATGAATGACAGTTCCCTGCCCCCCAAATAGAAAATGCAAACACTTAGGAGCTGCTGTTCTCTTCTCTGAAAATTGCAGTATCCTCACTTCAGGTTTACTTGCCGTTTATGGAATCTGACTGCTTTTAAAATGTCATAAAAAATGTACATCAAATTGATTGACTTTTCCAAGCATCTCTCAAGTGATACGCTTCAACGTTCACATTCATGCTAAAAGTCAACAAGAGACTTACTCAAATGACTGACTTCCTCCTTCCCTCTCCCTCCCAAACACACACAAGACTCCCTCCCACAGAGAACACAAAGTTGTTAACTGAAGAACAAGGTAAATAATATGCTAGTCAATTTTACTGATTTTAAAGATACTGCAATTTTTATACACTTCAATGATTTTTCAACATTTTGCAGCTGTTTGGCTTTGCAGCACAGCAATTCATACACTATACTGTACAAAATTACCAGCAAGACTGGAATGATGTATTAATAGAAGGCACCATCATGCTTATTACATTACCAGAGAACAAAAATACAGTAAAGACAATTTTCACTGTACACAGCTTAAAGAAAGGAGAAAGGGGAGGAGGAGGAGTGTGTTCAGCAGCCAGCCATCCCTGTACTGAAGAGGGGCAGGTAGAAAAATCTTAGATATGGAGCTACTAAATCTGGTCTAATATTCAAGACCATAGCATTTAAAGTTCTGATTTCTGTTATTTAGTTCATAACTAAATGATTTCCTTCTGGAATATACTTGTAGTCTTGTTAAGGTTTATGTGTACACACGCTGGTCACAGCAAGCAGATAAAATGCCCTCATCATTTCACAAACTATTCTCTACTGGAAAAAGAGATGAAAGGTTTTTTCCCCTGTTGCCTCCTGTTGCAGATGTCAATGTTAATGAGTTCAGAGTACCCATTAGTGCATTTTGATGAGTGCATAACAAGTTTCTGTTGGGTTGTATTTTTGGGGGGGAGCCAAGAAAAAAGGCAAGATTCTCCAATTGCACAAATTGCACTATTTGTGTTTCCAACATTAACAGGCAGAAACAGTAACACTTAAACAAAATGTGCAGCAGAGGATTTTTTTTTTTTTTTTTGACTCAAAGGACCTGAATTCAGTTGGGCATGTCCTCGTAAGTTCATTTTGTTGTAGATAGTTTAAGATACGGTCATTCTCAGTCCTTAATTCTCCAAGTCTAGATTTATAAATTAACAATGTGAATCCTGTTGTGAAATTGGGGAAATAATGTCCACCTCAATTTAACTGATAACCAAAAGATGCTTTTCACATCAAAGAAATGATCAAAAAGGCTGTGTCACATTCCAAAGCCAAAAAAAAAAATTAACAAGAATGCAAACACGATGAATAATGTACCACTGCCAAGACTTTGCCAACAGTGGAGCTTCAGCGACGCTGTCCTGTGAAGCGGCCTTCCATTTGCCCAGTTCCTCTTCCAGAGCCAAGTTTCTGTGCCATGCCACCTCTTGGAGGAGGTCCTCTTCCATCCCGGTCACGCATCATTCCACCGCCCACTATTCCACGTGGACCGCCAGGACCTCGATCATTGCGCCTAATATCCCTGCGATCATCACCACCACCTCTGGTTTCTCGCTCTCTTGCAGCTCTTGTTTTTTTCTCTTCCACATTTAAACGTACTTCCCCTCGAAACATAATTGGCTTTAAAAGGAGAGAAAATCATTTACATGGGCAGGTTAGACACCAATACAAATGTATTCCCTTACTTACAGAAGTAAAAAAACCTAGGGGCACCTGGGTGGTCCATTCGGTTAAGCCTTTGACTTTTGATCCTGGATCAGGTCATGATCTCACTATCCAGGAGTTCGAGCACCGCATCCGGCTCTGCGCTGATAGCGCTGAGCCTGCTTGGGATTCTCTGTCACCCTCACTCTTTGCCCCTCCCCTGCTCACACACATACGCACTCTCTCTCAAAATAAACTTCAAAAAATAAATTAAATGATCCACATCTCAGACTTTAAAGCCACTAACAAATCTTTATTCTTTACATTAAAACCATTTCTAATAAACTACTTTTAGCTTTACCATTAAGAAAAGATGTTCTATGGTTTTAAAATGCACCAAGTTAATGTTACATACAATAGGAATAATAAAGTTTTGAACTATGTACATCCTTTCACTTACTTTTGCAATTAAGATTCTCTGAACTGGTTCAGAGTCATCAAAAACCACAAAACCAAAGTTTGGAAGCTTTCCCCCAACACCCTTGGTGTTGATGCGAAGTTCCACAACGTTTCCAAAACCTGTGAAAATATATATTACACCAAGGGGATTAAACATTTTAATAGAATACTTTGTAGCTTTAAGTGTTGAGGAGAAATAACCTTAATCTACTCGAACCATTTCAAATAAGGTGCAAGCTGCTACACCCAGTGACAACTAAAGTACATTCACTCATACACATAAAGATGCTAACAACTAGTCTGACAGCTTGTTACATTACCCTTCTGAATTGGTCCTTTCAAAAGGAAAGTTACCTGCATAGCTTCACAAAGACAAGGACATTTTCTATTTCTGACTTATATTTGCCAAAAGAACCCTATCCCCAAATTTAAGAGCTGAATCAGCTCTTTCTTCTAACCTCTATCACTAGGCCAGTCAGCACTCAGTAGTCACAGGGAAACATCTAATATAACCTTCTACTCACTTCTGACCAATTAAAGTGATTGGTACCTCTAGAGATACACACAGTATATAGAGAGATAACAAGTTTTTTTTTTTTTTAAAGTTCTAATTATATTATGAAAAAAGCTCTATTCCCCCCTGCTCAATTTTACAATAAAGCAAATAAACTACTCACTCATGAAGAACTCTTTCAGTTCATTTTCATCAATATCATGTGGCAAGTTACCAACAAAAAGTTGATGACTGTCTGGATAGCGAATTATTCTACGGTTGTCAGATTCATTCTGTTCAATATCTCCTCTGCCTGAGAAAAGGAATAGGACAGACATTAAAGTTTATAATATATAACAACCAGTTCAAAGCAATGAATGTATAAAAGATATTCCTGTTTTAGTTTAATAAGATAGTGAGCTCCTTGAACAGAGGTGGAAGTGCCTATTATTAGTAGGTTAGTTAGAAAACAACATGACACTAAGTATAAAGTGAGGGTATTGACTAGATTGCTAAAATTCCTTCTTCTAGATCTACTGGTCTGATTATATGAAAGTCCAACATTAGTACGAGTATTCCTCCTTAACCAAATTCTTGCCATCATCCAAGAACCAAACAAAGTTCAGAGAGTGAGATATATTTGTTCTAAGTATTTGTTTAGCATTTTGAGATTTACAAATTAATCTTTGGTTGTATGAAATTATAGCCAAATCAGTAAATTTAATACTAACAATATTTCATTTAAATAGGCTATATACATTTTAACGTGCTCAAATTTATACAAAAAATTTTTATTTGATCCTCTCAATAACACAAAACACAATGAGTCATATAAAAAAGGCATCACACAAGAAAAATTTGTGTAGTAACTAAATGGCATAAGAGAAGCTCATAATTTAAGGCTCTCACCCAAGATCATAAGCTCAAGCAATAGCAAAACTAGGACAAACCCCAGTTCCCATGACTTCTGGTTTATTAACGGATCACTTTATTTTACTTTTGTGGGAAAAATTACATAGGCTATTGACGGATACGATCTCCCACCTCCTCCCAAAAGCAATCTAAACATACTTAAAGAATTCAAATAGAGGTGCTACGTATATTAGCTAACAATGGAAACAAGTCAAAAATCATGGCAACTTACTTAATACCTAAGACAATCAAAATAAGAAGAATCGGGGTGTGCTTATTGTTTATCTGTGAAGAGATAAGAGTGCTAAGTAAGAGAGTAGGTTATTGGCAGCTCGGTTTTGAATTCTTAGAACCAGTGACAATAACCAAATAAAATCTGTCTCAAAATTTTTACACTTTCAAAATACATGTCTCCATCACATGTCAACTACTCCTCCCCTGAAAGTCAGTTGTTCTACCCCAGCCTGTACCTTTAGCAAGTTAAATCTTTTGAGAAATTTGGTATTAAAAGGAACTCCATATAAAACACATTATAGTTCTTTAAGTTCAGTCTTTTCCAACTTTCCAACTGCTAAATGCTGAAGGCCACAGAGGGGCTGACTCACCTGGTCTTGGTCCTCTAGGAGGGAAACCGGGTCGTTCTCGAGGTCGTTGTTCACGCACCCGAGGTGGCTGAGACTGAACTTCTGGTTTAGCTTCAACTCTTGGCTAAAATACAAGGAAAAAAAAATACATTATAAATAAACTCATTCCACAGGGGATAAAACAACTAAAGCAACTACCAGCAAGTCATCAGCAGACATAATGGTCATTTTAAGCTCAGAATAGTTTTAACACAGTGTCCTATGTATGTGAGGAATAAGTTTTACAAAGATATTCTGTACCAATCTAGGACTGTAGGGTAGGTTTGTTTTCCCATTCAAGGATACAGAACTCAAAATAAGCTGCTTTTACAACCACGTTTTTTTCAATAACTTTACATCCACATTGAGACAGCATTAAAGGTACTGCTACAAAAATCACAAAAATGCAAGATGAGCCACTCCATGTAAATGCATATGCAAAATAAAAAATCAACTTTATTCTAGACAAAATTATGACACACACTGTCTAATTATCTAGTTTGCTGCCCCTCAAATGTTACCAGTGCTTAGCCAATGTTCTAAACTCCACCCACAAACCTTAAAAGTATTTAGATAGTTCAAATTATACAGTTTAGCTTATTCTAAGCAACTAAAAATACTACCTGTAAGTTAAAATTAAATAAACAAGACAGAAACATGTGTAAAGCACCTCAGAATCAAGGAGTCCTTCACCACCCTACTGTTCTTACATATAGGAAAGGAATGCAAGACCCCAACAATTTTCTTTAACTGCACCCGTGGGAGGGGAGGCTCAGGCAGGGAGTAACAGAACTTTTTAAGATGCCTTCCAAAAATTTCTGCCAACTGCCAAAAATTACACACATATAATTAAAATAACTATTTTAAAACAAAGGAACATCTGCTATTACCTTTTCCTTAATACAGTGGCATTTTCAGCATTCCCAAACTCTTCAGGCCATCCACTGCCCAAATATTTATGGTCCAAGGAAGAGATAAAACATATGCACCTTCAAAGAGTGCCGAAAACACTCAGCAGGATATGAAGAAAATGTCCTCCAGGTCAGAAAACTAGTGATTTCAGTCATGTCTTTATGACTGATCATCTCTGAGGACCCCAGTCCAGCCAGTGTCTCAAATTCTTTCATCACTTATATAACTGATTATTATTATAACTTGCAAGGTCAAATTCTAATACAGAAAGTTATAAAGAGTTACGCTTCTTTCAAAAGTGACGATTTACTGTAAATGACTTCACCCTCTGTAATCAAAAGGTACAACAGTAGTTTTTAACAGATGTGTATATCTCTTCCCAAACTTTTTTTCCACGAAGATTTCCCATTTCCCTCAAGATGAGTTGCTCTCCCCAGGGCACCTAGGTGGTTCAGTCGGTTAAGCATCCGACTTGATTTTGGCTCAGGTCATAGCATGGTTTGTGAGTTCAAACCCCATGCTGGGCTCTGTGCTGCTTGAGAATTATCTGTCTCCCTCTCTCTCTGCCCTTCCCAGGCTTGTACTCCCTTTCTAAAAAATAATAACGTTAATTAAAAAAAAAAAAAAAAAAAGATGAAGTTGCTTCCCATGTTCTAGGATTTTGCTATTTTAAAAATAATTTCGGGGCGCCTGGGTGGCGCAGTCGGTTAAGTGTCCGACTTCAGCCAGGTCACAATCTCGCGGTCCGTGAGTTCGAGCCCCGCGTCGGGCTCTGGGCTGATGGCTCAGAGCCTGGAGCCTGTTTCCGATTCTGTGTCTCCCTCTCTCTCTGCCCCTCCCCCGTTCATGCTCTGTCTCTCTCTGTCCCAAAAATAAATAAACGTTGAAAAAAAATTAAAAAAAAAAAATAAAAATAAAAATAATTTCAACTCTCTTCAGTTTTCTCAATTATTTACATGTATTTATTCCTATAAGGACTGTATCCTAATTCATTTCTACATCACCCAAAACCAAGCACAGTGATGTTAGACACAGATGTTCAATAACTATTGGTTCATTTAGAATTAAATTACATTTTTAGTTTTCCAGCATGTAGGAGAATGTTCTATGTCTGACAAGGGGACCTATGTTATAGCCCTGAAACCACTGTGATCTGTATTTGCAGTTTAACACTATATGGTAATTTGACCCAAAATGTGATGCCTGAAAAAGGCAGTTATGTAAAGTTTCACTAAAGGGGGCCTAAAAGTGCCAACAATTAAAGAACAGACAAACTCAAAGTTTGATGAAGCTAGTATCCTTGGGAAATTAATAAAAATAGCAAATGTACCTTTCAATTTAAAATTCTCAGAAAAACCTGACTCAATGAATGCAAATGTTATCAAAGAACTTAAGAGGTGCCCTCACTGACCTGATTTACATTCTTTTCCAAATTAATTACCAAAAACAAAAATAACTACACATACCAAAATAGACAAGTTCTTCATTATCCTTTAAGGATTTAAAATTAAAAACAAATTTAAATAATTTACAACATCTTTTCAATAATTCATAGTGACTCAGCAACGTGTCAGTAGATATTTGATGATGCCAGTGTGAAAAAATATGTAAACCAGTATTCCTTTCAACAATTCATATATGTCAACTAAGCCAGCTGTGAATTCATAATTATTCAGGCTCAATTTCATGATTAAAACGATTTACTCTGAATGAGATAAAATGGCTAACATACCACATACTATACTTTAGAGCCTCAAAATTAATTCCATATAACCAGAATATGTGCTCAGGTGACAAATCTCACAAATGAAAGTCAAACAGAATATGAAATAAAAATGGAACCATCAAATCAACAACAGCAGGTAAAACCACTACTAAGTCCTTCAACTGAACATAAGCTAGTTAGATAAAGTTAGATAAACTAGTGAATTTCTAGACAAAACCTTTTTACCATGAAATTAACTTACCTACTTCTAAATTAATTCCTACCAATACCCTAAAATTAGATTTAATTCTTTTTATTAAACTGTGCTAAAAGTGATAAGGAAATGGATACTACACCAAAGTAATAAAATAAAATTGAAGGATTTATTAAATATAGTGGAAAAATCATGAATCCATTCTAAATATAGCCTAAAAAGAGCAGAAAATTATTTTAAATAGAAGTTTAAATTGGACCTGTTTAAAAATGTGTTAATAAGGGGATGGGTTGGAAAATACCATCTAGTCTCCTACAACTAAAAAAAAAAATTTTTTTCCCCCTGGCCAAAAAGCTAGGATCTCATGTAATGTAATTCAAGACATGCCTTAAATACAGTACTCTTCTGTGATGAAAATGGAGATACATTCCCCTCCAATGGGCTAAAGAAACCTATAGGTTTACATGAGTCACAAAGGGACTCTGTGTCCAACTACATAAATTCAAAGTCCAGCCCTATGCTATTTATACAGCTGTCTGACCTTAGGCTGAGGTACTCTGGGCCTCAATTTACTCATCTGTGAAACAGGAATAGTAACAGTAAGCACCCTTACAGGGTGACTGAGGATTAGATGAGAATGAATATAAAGTGCTTTGCACAATGCCTGGCACAAACTGAAGACATAATAAGCATTAGCTATTTTATTTCTTAACTGGAAGTTTAAAATAAATGTAGCCAACACTCAGAAGATGAAGTAACTATCCAAAGGATTTCAAATGCAAATCTGATAAGAAATCAAGAATTTCAAAAGAAAATTCAGAAGTCACTCATCAGGTCTTCAGATGGGTTGAAAAGCACAACCAACACCTG